TTTTTTTTTTCCCCTAAATACACTAGTCCAGATAACATAGTAACACAGTTGCTTTGTAAGAAGCATATTTTCAGAATATCTTGCTTTCCACTAACATCAAGCTAAATGATTAGCTTTATGTGAGGTATAGACRTATGCAAAAACATCATCCCAGAGGCCTTGATTTCCAAAGACCTAGTCTCAAAACAGCCAAAGTTCCTGCAAAATTTTATCCGTCAGAACAAAGAGCTCTCTCTGTCCGGGGATTTTACAGTGATAATAAGCTGATTCTTCTGCAATGGAGGATTGCTGGAAAGCAATGAAGTCTTCCATTTTTTCATACAAAACATTTTCATTTCATGGTCTGCTAGAAAAAATATTTATTTTACTGCATTGAAAAATTCATCAAGTACTTGAAATTTAAAATGTAGTAAAACCAGATTATTTTATAAACGGCGTAATTACAGCTTACACTGTTTTCACATAGCTGGTAACTTTATTTTGTAAAGTCAGGAGCTGTTTTGTACATGAGTATTTATATGATTTAAAAGTTTTTGAGGGTTCAGTAATCATTTTCTGCTTCAGTATACATTGTACACATTATTTGGAAGATATTTACTACCATTGCATTGATTGTTGTGCTACTCAGCCACCCTAACATGCCAAATAAATTCTTATTCTGTCAGTTGTTTCCTTGGTTAAGATGTTACACTGTATAAATAGAGGTGGCACCACAAGAATCACGTAGATTTAGTTCAAAATACACTGAAGAAAAGGTACCTATGAAACCTGAAGGCGTTGCTCAGCTGCAATGAATGGATTTAAAATAAAAGCTATAGAAAAATAGCTATTGTTAGTTTTAAAGTTACATAGGGAAACCAGTGCTCTAAGAAAGTGATGAGAGCTGAATTCCAAAATCAAAGCGATCAAATTTAAGAGCTACTGGCGTTCGTTAAATACAGCTCTGTGGCACCATCGAGTGGTTTCATCTTGAATAGCACTTCAATTACGGGAAACAGATTTTAAAGATGACTGGTAACTTGAAAATGGCCTGTTTCAGTTTTCTTATGCTACTGAAACAGATTAGTCTGGAATTAATAAAAATTTTTTATTCTGAACTACTATGATGCAAAAATAAATCGATGTGCCATTTATAACTTATTGAAATATTTCAAAGAAAGGTTGTGTTTTGGTGTCTTGTTCAAAATGGCAGGAATACACGTGCTAACTCTACCCATCAAATAAAGAAATTATTCCATTTCACTCACAATTTTATATTCATGTAAGTTTATTATTAATAATATTATTTCAGACTCCTGCTCATGATTTATCTTGAGGTAGGTAACAACAATAAGTGTCTTGTCCAACAATCACCATCCTTGGTAATGTTAGGAAATGGCCACCAAAGGAAGGGATGATTCGCACACAGGATTCTGCCTGGAAAAGCATCCCTCTGCTAGGTGAGGAAATAAGTGGAGATCTCCACTTGGAGCTGGGCTATAAAGTAGCTGTCAAAGGAAGGGTGAGTTGGGAAGAAGGATTCTCTATAAGGACACATTTGTAGGGACATGGCTGGGATATTTAGGGCTAAGTCTCGTCCAGTGGATAGGGTCTGGGTTAGGCTTAGGGTTAGGACTGGTAGAGAGACAAATCTTTTTCTTCTGAGCCCAGCCATAACAGGGGTCTTGTACTAAATCTCAGGCAATGTTTTAGGTTTGTGTAAGGGTTAGGGTTAGAAGAGAAGTGGGCAGCTTTATTTGGACTGGATTTGTGTAGGGGTTCGAAAAGGGACACACAGAATTATCCACTAAGGGCTTATTAATCTGGGCCAAGGCTGGGGTTTCTTGGGCTAAGACTCTGCCAACACASAGTTTCATGTTTATGGTTAAGTTTAGGCTCAGGAGATAGGCAAAGCTTAGAGCTCCGTTTGGAGACAGGATCAAAAGTTCTGCTAAAGAATTCTGGGTTGCAGATAAAGTTGTCCCCAGAGAAYATGTTCACCTGGGCAAGTCTTGGTGATCTAACACATTACATAGGTGTAGGATTAAGGTTAGCGTTGAGAGACAAGGAAAAGGGGGAGATGTATTTTGGGTGGTGCTCAAAAGGGGCTGCCAAGGGAAGATGTGGGATGCTAGAAGAATTCTCCCTTGAGAACATGTTCATCTGGACYACAGCAAAGGGACCTGAGGTAATGACCTCCTCTCCTCAGAAAGAGTGGCGAAGGATTTCAGCTCAGAAAGAGTGGTGAAGGATTTCACCAAATACTGAAGCCATTTTTTTCCCCTAATGTAGTGCTTCAGGAAGGATTTCTGAAGACAAATCACCCATGTCCAGCTTTGACCTTGGAAGTTCGCCATATTTATTTTCCTTATTGACAGGTTCATTTTTTTTGACTTGACACGGAATCTTAAATCAAAAATTCAGTATTAAGAAATACTGTGTTCTTCAAAGTCTTTATTAATTTTAAATTATTTTTCTTTATAATTCACATTTTATATAACTTTATCATGTAAATACAGRAATATTCTGACAATATTATAAATGTAACTCCCCTTCAAAAGGTAAGTCTGCTCCCGTTAAATCTTTGACATGAATAGTATTTAGCCATCAAAGCTAAATTGTCATTATGATTGATAGAGCCCAAGAGTACCTTGGGAGGTGAAGAACACTTCAGGAGACTCTTCACATTCAGAATTCTGTCAGCCCTAAGGACTTAGAAAAATAAATATGCAAAGACTCACTACACTGCTGGAAAAAAAAAACCCTTTAAATTAACAGATGGCAAACACAGAATTACAGGTCTATTAACTAATATCTCTGGTTGTACAAAATTGTTTTCTGTATTTTTTTTGGCTGTACGTTAAAAACTCCTGTAATAAGTCTTTTACCATCTATCTTTGAGAGTTTTCAGAGCTACATTTTATATTCAAGACAGTTTTCCTAGTACAGCATTTTAATCAAGAAGTGGTTGCTGTTCACACAAGTGGAGTTAAGTAAGCTCAAAACTGTGGTTTATTTGATAAGAATATAATTATTGAATCAAAGTGTGCAGGCTCTTTTGTGACCTTAGCCTTTTGCACTGCCGAGTACATTGCTGTCAGTACCTGAGTTAGCTAGTAGCAAGCAGCAGGGACATCAGTGCAGACATATTCAAGCTCTTTGGGTTGTTCCTGCCCTAAATAATTAGGCTATAATCTTGGGCTAATTTCTGCAATATTCATCATGAAATTGGAAGACTCTAGTTCAAAGAAACAGAAATTACTGAGGGAAATGTCTCTGTTTCAGTGAGCTTTTGATGACCTGCACCCTGGGCTCTCATTGGGAGACGGGTTCTGTTCTCCTGATGGCTCATGTGGCATCAGGAGATGGCTGTGGCAGCTACGACAGGGAAGACCTGTTTTGTTTCTCAGTTCATTTTTTAGTAGATGAAAAACCTTGTAGTCCCTTGATAGAAAAAAAAAATCAGTTGTTCTTGAGACTATGAGTAATAAATACAACTTATATGAACTAAGTCTGAATTGTYAGTGCTAAATCTGCCTTTTCCTAATGTTTAAATTCTTGTTTTGGCATTCTTGGATTTGGATGTTTATCTTAATTTGAGTATTTACCTAACTAGATTTTTCAGAAAATAATCAGGAAAAAAAGAGTCTAGACAATTTTAAAATCTATTTCAGATCTAAATCATCGCTATGCAGAAGCCTTATGGGCCTCATTTAACACTTATTGAAACCAGGCTCCCTGGAAGATCACACCAAAGGTTATATCTATGTTGCCAAATAAGGGAGCCCCAGGAATTGCTTGGCACACAGCGACCCTTGCCCATGCTGCGGAGGGCTCTCCTGTACGTGATGGACTATGTCCATACTCAGTAGGATTCTGGATTTCTTGGGCACCATGGGACGTCYGCATGACTCTATGGCATAACTGCTATTTTTTTGAGGGCTATTTTGGGTTCAGATTGCTTGAAACACCATGAAGGCTGTGTTGCAGCTTACCACACTAAGTTTTTTTTCCAGAAGGAAGTTGAGGGATGTATGGTAGGTTTTGGTATGTGTTGTAAGTACCTGTGAAGATGTTGGAGGGTGCAAAGGCTTTGCAAACAGTCTTGGAAGATTGTGTAGGTCAGAAGGAGACAGACTTTGCCCTTATTATCCTTTTGGCAACAAYGCTTGCTCTACAGTATGCTGAGCACTCTGCACTCTGCCTGGGTTTTGTTTGGAAAGTTGGCTTGAGTGGTCCAAAACAAACCCAGGATGCAAGCTAAAGGTTAAGGACTTGGAACGTTCACATTTGCTCTCTGTCCTCTTTTATCTCTCTGTGTAGACCTACACAGACCTAAAATTCGTAGCATGAGCRTAGAAAGGAGTGTTTGCTCCTGAAAATTTCCTCCTAGACTTTAGCCAAGCTCACCCTAAAAATCATAGAGGTTGAAAGAGAGCACCTGTATTCCTATGAAGCTCTATGCATTAACTGCAAGACCTAAACTTTGAAGTTGTCACGGCAATCTCTGTCCATCTCTGTGCCTGCTCCACAAGAAAAATATTAACCTTATAGACACCTTGAATTTATTTTTCTTSTTGCAGCCTGCAGCCATTGCCTTTTGTCTTTTGGCTCTATACATTTGAGAAGAGTCTATCACCGTTTCCTCTATAACTTTCATTTAGTTAACTAAGGATGGCAGCTAAATCTCTCTTAGGTTTCTCTTTGGGCTAACCAACACCAACTCCCTTCAGATTCTCTTTGCACATCATACGCTCCAGCCTTCTAAGTACTAAGTTTTGCTGACAAAATAGTATTTACGGACTCTAAAAATTAAAACTACAAATAAAACGAACGCTGAGAAGAAAGTGGATACTTCAGTCTGAGAGAAAAATCAAAACAATGGGACAAAGAAAAATAAAATATTTGGAAATGGTGGAAACACAGTGTTGGCCAATGTGAAATTCTTTTATTTGTTTTTATTTTTTGCCTCATTTCCAGTTATCTCTTTTGCTTGTTCTTTTCTTATGCTAACGTGAGATGCTTTTTTAAATGATCTTTGAAGAAAAGCTTTGTATTTTAAAGTTCTGACATTTCCGAAAAAATATATTATTGCAAAGAAGCTGAAATGTTTCAACAACATCTATTATTTTTCTGCCAATCTTCTATCTATCTAAAATTTAGTGAGGAGTTCAACTTAATTTCATAAATACTTTCAATCCTCCTTTAGCTCCACTTTTACCAAATTCACCATAAATTGATTCTTTGGTTTATCCAACTTTCAGAAGCATTTTACAGCCTCCCTAATGTGAACAGCCACAAACACTTAATTAAAAAAAAAAAAAAAAACCCCTAAAAAGTCACGTATTTTCCACGGATTTTTCAAGGTATACCCAACAGCATCCATCAATTGGCAAGACATAAATGTCACAGACTGCACAGAACAACACTGTAGCTTTTTACCTGCTATGGTGCAATCTTTGTGCTCAGAGTCTAACTTAGTTGCCTATGGTCTCTTGACAAAAATTGTGCATGTCTTCTTGTCTCTCTTCTTTTTTCCCCCATTTTTTTTAAAGTCTCTTTGAAATTAAGCCAAATATTCAGTCTCTAAAGGCTAGTTTTTATGACACCTACTTCTATTACGTGTCATTTATAGAGACTTTTCAACGATTGCTGCTCCATTTTTACCATGTCTAAAATAGCTACTCTATTTCCTGCATTATAATGGTATGCTCAAATTCTCTCATGATGTGTGGGAAATTCTTTGGGGAATTCTAGTGAATAGTAATMAGGAAATGCTCTCAGAATGTCAGTAGTGCATGTGCATGAAGAAAGAAATAAAAAATTTGTAAAAAAATATTCACAAGATAATGAAGCTCAGTTGAAAACCAAGGTGATACGATTTTGCAGAAGCCAAAGTGTCTCTAACAATTGCATAGMATTTATAATAATGATGTCTGGCTGATAATTTAAAATGTTTTTATTCATGGCAACCATTTTTTCCCCTGACATCATTTCAGTTAAATCCTTCTGAAATACTGCATTTCTTTCAGCAGCACTAACATAATAATGAAAGGAAGAGATTTTTAAAAGGCCAGTAGCTGGTTGATTTATTCCGCACGGCACAAATGACATGCTACGTGCTTCACAAGGAATGCTAGGTGTTTTTCCGTATTTGCTGGCCCTATTCCATATATWGTCTTTTCTGCAACATCATTTGTCCTCTGACCTACCTCCATTCTATATCTTCCTATTCTCAAGGATTCTTCCACGTTTTTCATTTCAGTGTTATCCCTCCAGTTTTGCCTTTGCCTTTTCCTAATTCTGTATTCCTACAACTCATTCTCACCTTTTTTTTTTTGTTTTGTTTTGTTTTTTGTTTTTTGTTTTTTTTGTTAAACATATCTCAGTACAATATATAGGATAGCAGTAAAGGAAACAGAGACTGAAATATATAGCTAAAAAGATATTCACTAGCCTTTACTATAGTTACTCTATGTATATGTTAGATCTTGCTTTTATCCTGTCTGTGTTATACACAGGGCAAAACAAAGACTTTTTTTCATGTATCATTATCATTTGTTTGTTCAGTGCACTGGAGCTCTGTTCATGTTGTGCATTTGGGCACCTCTGCAATTTTGCTTTTAGTTACTGTTGTAAAGTTCCAAATACCTGAATAGACTGGTTTGGGTGTGAAAAGCATAAAAAAGACTCCAACTGCTACATGTTTTAGAGAAGATCGACATCCTGAAATAAGGAAAGAAGATTTGACTTTGTGTACTCTGCTTTTGACTTGGAAGTATCCTGTTTTCTAGGCTAAGGAGCATCTGGCACATTTCCAACATGTTGCAATTGTATAAGTTGTTAACTATCCATGCCAGAAATAATTACAGCAGAAATCAAAGTTTTTGGAACTAGCTTCTCCTRAAAAAATGGGAACTACAGTAGCTAATTCTGTGGAAAGAGAAGATGTTACAGTCCTGGAAAAGGAAAGACTAGGGAAATGAAGGACAGTCAGACTTAAAGTACCAGAAAATTGTCTGAGATGACTTAAAAACCTTTCATCCAATCCTTTGTGCACCCTTCACTCTAATCATGATGACTGCTCACAACTGTTAGGGTATGAGGGAAGAGAGAGAGCTACATGAATAATAATAAAAAGCTGTAAAATTGGCTTATTTGCTTGTATTATTAGGAATTCTAATCAGTTACATGGCATTTTAACAAGAAAGCACTGCCTGGGAATACAGAATGTGGTACTGGGAAGTTGCAGTAAAGCACTGAGGCACTTAAGGATATGGTTTAACAGTATGGTGTTGAGGGGCTTACATGCAGCCTCAATGATCTTGAAAGTCTTTTCCAACCGTAATAATTCTGTGATTCTATGATTTAGCAAATAGGATTTCTAAATTCACACCTGTTTGATCGATTTTGTTTTAATAACATCATTAGCATTATCCAGTGCTGATAGTGATGTGGATGACACATATGTCACTTAGAAAACACTTCACCAAGTAGAAGAAACCAGATGAGTGGAATCTGGAGAAAGATGCTGAAACCAAAGTTTTGGACTATGTGTAAGAAGTCCAAAATAAGTGTGATTCACAAAAACGCAGAATCACAGGATGTTTAAGGTTAGAATGAACCTGTGGAGATTGTCTAGTTTAATCCCCCCTCTCAAGCAGTGTCACTTAGAGGACGTTGCACAGGACTGTGTCCAGTTGGATCCTGAGTATCTGCAAGGTTGGAAACTCCACAACCACGGTTCAACTACCCATCTCTCTGATACTCTCCCATTAGGTATTTATATACATGGACCAGACCCACCCTCAGCTTCCTCTCCTACAGGCTGAACAGTTCCAGTTCTCTCAGCCTCTCCTTATAGGAGAGACGCTGCAGTCCCTTAATCCTTCCCTGCACTTGCTCCAGTAAATCCATGTCTTGTCCCGAGGATGCTGGGACCGTAAACAGCACTCCAGATGCGTCTCACCAGACCATTTCTGCTGCCATGGTGGCTGCATGTCCACTGCAGCTCAGACTACTGTTGGCCCTCTTTGCTGTAGGGGCGTATTTCTGGCTGACATTCAGCTCGTCCACCAGGATCCCTAGGTCCTTCTCTGCAAAACTGCTCTCCACCTGGTCGGACCTCAGCCTGCTATGGTGCATGGAGGTTTTCCTCCCCAAGGGCAGGACTTGGCACTTCCCTTTGTTGAACTCCATGAGGTTCCTCTCTGCCCATTCCTCAAGCCTGTTGAGCTGTGCATTAGTCCTCTCAGCCAGAAGCTACCAGAAAGAATAGGGGGACTCCTGCTTGCTTTCTGCTTTCTGAGGAGCATGCAGAGAATGCTTTTGCTTTTACTCAGTATTAGCAATGTGACTGTTTTGGAAACATGTTTTTTCTTCTCTTTAGCTTATTTTTAGACACGCACATTCCCATCAGGTATACACATCTGGAACTGCATTCAGCAGATGTTGTTGAAAGCTCCATGAAGGTGCAGAAATGCCAAAAGAATAAAAATTGGTCTGGTATTTAACTGTTTAAGTGTTCCTTGCATAGTCCAACTGCCTGCTTATTATTACTATTGCACAGTGAGGCTCCATCATGGTCTAGGAACTGGCTGAGATGCATAATGTACAAAAAGATACCCTTATCTCAGAGACCTTACATTCTTCTTGATAAATCTTGTAATAGGAGGATACATCCTACCCCTTCTGCTTGGTTTGAAAATGTTTATTAAACCTCCAATCCTTGATCGCAGACACAATATGCAGAAACTGAAATCCTTTGCAGCCAGTCCTCTCACTCGGCTATTCAGTGTCCTCTTTCAGCAATGTGTGCCATATCCCTTGCCCCTTTTGTGCCTCTCTCCCACCTTTGGCTCTTTGGCAGCTTTGGATATTTGGACTTACGATATCAAGTAGGGGAAGTTTTAAACCAAAAGAACAACCTAGGAACCAAGGAATTAAAACATTTCCTAATGGAGAGGATTAAAGGCTTGCCAAAACCGTGAAATCATGTCAAGAAGGAAAGTGTCACAAATGATCCCACTGACTCACTCTGGGGCTTTATATTGGCACGTGCCTATGAACTGAAGGTCAAGCACCCAGAAACTGGGCTGCAGAGAAGAAGGAGATGGTTCCAAGAGCATCCCAAAGATTTCTTTAGCTCTGTTTTAAAGTTGCCAGCTAAGAGGGGAAGGGATACATTTTGTCCATAGGCAATAAAAATACGTTATCCTACATTTAAAGTATATTTGCATAATTTGGATTATGGCTTCCTGACAGTAGCCCAGCAGACTGAAACCATTTTGCGATCCTAAAATAAAAATGAAGAATATTTTGAGCATGCCTTTTTTTTTTTTCCCTGATTTTTTTTTTTCTGTTGGACACTACCTAGCTGCACAGCATTGCTTTTTCTGGGCACAAGGCAGCAATACCACAGAACTCACTTTGCACTCACATGAACCCAAGACGGGAACAGGCAGGGGTGGACAGAAAACGATGAAAGAAAATAGCTTCGAACTTAAAGGAGGTTTAAAAAAGCCCTGTTTTTGACCACTCAGGAAAGGCTTGGTGCCTGGGAACCTCTGCCACCAGAGACCAATAGAAGCCTTTAAGCATACACATCACCCACTTAGTTTAAAAGACTTCGTTGTCTATCAGTGAATAACATGGGTTGTTCTTTCATTCTTGTTCTAAACCCAGTCTCAAAGAAACTAAAGATTAGTTCTGGAAGCTTTAGTAAGGCACTTTTAAATTTATACCATGGATAAACATGAAATATATGAAATATTTTAAATACTTGTATTCTTTGGGTGTCCCCCCCCCCCCCCCCGCTTTGGACTAATCAGTAAAATGCATGTTTTTCAGGATGCTACAAATTTTCTGTGCATTCTTTCAGGTCAGGGAGTCAGTATATATTCTGAATTCAGTTATCAATAATGTTACACACCTGACTAAAAGTTTCTTCTAGTCTTGTTTTTATGGAAATCGACATTTTCACTACTGTTTTCTCTAGATAGGCAGAAAGCTTTCTTTTATCTTTGTTAGCATTCCCTTTCTCCTCAGTTTCATGAAAATATGGTAGCCTGTTATTTGCAGAGCTCACAAAATAATTCTTAATTTAGCCATGACTATGAAAATCTGAACACAAAACCTTACAAACTGCCCATTAGTAAATTGCTCCTGAAACCAATGTAAAGTTCTGCAAGGTTATGAGCAAACTGGTGGGGAATTCCTCAAGATTTGGTCTCTCAACCAAATTAGTGTTGGCTCAGAGATGCAGTGGGATCTTAATGTGACTCAGTGTAAGAAATACAGCAATCCCTTTCAGTCAATCATTTTTCCTTACTGCCAGCTGCCCACATCTCTACCCAGGTATCTTGGCCTCTCCAGCCTGTGGTTCCCAATGCACTGGCACTGTGAACATAAGCTTATGCTTTTCAGCTCTCTTCATACCAGGAGGAAACTGAAAATATTTGAGGTTCATTTTTAAGCTGCGTGAATGAAGGACACAACTGTAAAATGTGCTGTGGTGTTGGGTCAATGTGTTTCCTACTGGTCTGAGAGAAATGCAGGCACACACATACACATACACACACCTACGTTCACAGCCTTTCTCAGGGAAGAGCTGAAAACAAGTCAAAACATACTGCCTTAGTGAAATGGTACATTTACTAGAATTAAATATTTCAGCCATCTCTATTCATAATCTGTTTTGGGCAGCAAACTTGTTTTGGAACACACATGGTCCACCATGACACACATCACCTGTTGCCCAAGGAGTCTTGAGATAAATGGTCTTGAGATAGAAGACTGGGAATACTCAGTCTGACAGATTTCTGCCAGGACTAGTCTCAGATCCAGCTACTTCATCTCCCTGACCAACGATGTTCTTCAGCTCATTTCCACACTCACCCACCTGGTTTCTTCTCTCCTGTCTCATCTTCTTCCTTAGCTTCCCCTTTCATTATGACATCTGTTCCTCTGCTTCAGATTCTTCCTTCAATCTCAGCTCAGTTTTGACATCTTTTCCTAGGCATTTGCCACCATTTTTACTATATTTGATCAGTTGGTAAATCCGGAGGCTTTTGACACCTCTTTCCTGTAGATCTACTTTTTTTCATCCTCAGACTTCTCACGATCTTTGTATAAATTCACTTTCAAACCAGAATCTAAATTACCCACCTYGGCCTTTTCTTGCCTTTCAAATATTCCCATCCCACTATCAGCTATCCTAGATCTCGGCACTCTGGCAGCCGGTCCAGCCTTCTTTCCCATACTGCAGTTTCCATACCATACCACCCACACTCSCCACAGAATTCTCATCCCAAGAAGCTCCCTTTCTCTACCCATACCACCAAGACCTGGTGTTGTGACTGTTGGAAGTATGTCTTTGCAGTCAGATCACATTCCTGGACCCTATCCAGCAAAAACAACAGCACAGAGCCAGAAATGCAGGGAAAATCCTGTACAGCCTGAGGCCCCACTGGATGGAATCTTGGAGAATTTAATTCCAGAACTGGGAGTCTTTGCTGAAAACATCTGGTATGCATAGAATTCTAGTTTTATAACGTGGCCAAATTTTGGTAAAATTTCATGGGGATAGAAAGAAATTCATCTTTGATATGAAGGCCACCCAGCTTGCAAACAGGAAGTCCCTGTACCAAAGGCTGAGTGCATTAAAGTTATTCAAATAAAAAGAGTGCCAGATTATTTTTTATATATTATCAAAACAATGCTTTTTTTTTTTTTTTTTGTTTTGTTTCATTTTGTTTTGTTTTTCCTTAGCTGTGTTTTCAGAAAGAGCTGAAAGCTTTTGACTTAAGTTTTCAAGAAGATTGTCCCAGGGCAAATATCCAGCATGGAAAATTCTAGACTGAACAATTTATGTGTGGCAAAATTATGTGCAATGGATAATAGGGCTGTGGACTGGGAGGTGTTGGATAACTGGTGTAATGGTGAACATTTCCAGTCTAATTACAGCACACTGATGTGTTCACCAAATCATGTAGCATATTACTACATTCTCACCAAACAGTAACAAAGGCAACCTGCAATTTCTTGTAGTTCAGAGGTGATTATAGCAGTTCTCGCCATTCCTCCACATCATGGAAATAGGAATTTGAAACTTCTCTGGAATACTTTCAAAGGCATTATGAAGCACAGCCAAATTATATACTTCTTCCAAATTCACAAAGAAATACCATGAGGAATTCTATTGCGTATATGCAACATATATGCTTTYGACATTAGCCACCTGTATTCATACAGAGTTTGATTCCCTTTTTTAAATGGATTAATGCCAAGGTAACTCCTTTAACGTAAAAGCTTTACATCTCATGTAAAACAAGGAGAGAAGAACTCAAGCCCTTTTCTGTCGAAACTGCAGTATCATGGTATGTTGTTAATATTATTCTGGCAATATATTATCAATATTATAGTTTATTATTAATATTAATAATTTAATAATAATATTAATATTATTCTAGCTGCATGTTGGATGGGGTTACTCTGTCAAAATGCTATGATATAAACACATATTTCTAGGGGATTTATGAGCTAAAAGATGGGAGCAGGGTGGGGTACTGCATAGAGCAGTGGACTACAATTCAGACCAAGGCTCTAGCCCTCCTGCACTGGCTTGCCATGTAAATCCCTGCTCCTCTGTGCTTCATTCCTTCCCTAGCAAGCAGAAAAAGACTCTGCTGTGTCGGAGAAGTTTCTGTTTCTAAAGGCTTCCAGAATCTTGTTTTCTCAGTCTTCTTCTATGTCTGGCCATCTGAGAAGCCTTGGCAGTGCTAGAAAACGTACTGCCAGCAGGTGGCAGATCCTGCTTACCCAATATACTCCTCATTTCACCCAGATCAGTAACCCAGCTGCCAGACCCACGGCATCAATAAAAGCTAAAAGCAGGAACTAAAACCTGAACAGCAGATCTTCAAAATATATGTGTTTCAAAAAAATGATGCCACATGATTAAAGTTTGCTATATCCCATACATTCTTAGCTAGATACAGAAGTCTGTTTCAGCTTTTATTAAAATCCTTTTTTGGAAAAATATTCAAGAGAAGTAGTGATAAATGGTGTAGCTGATTTAAAGCAAGGAGAAATTTCCTCATCTAGGAATGTGTTTAGAGCACTAACATTTCCTGTTATTGAATCACCTGAATTGCTACTGATAATGTAAATTAGTGAGTCTGAAGTCTTTCAGATCAGAA